ACTGTAGACACAAAACACACAAAAACACTGTTTTTCTATTTGGTGCAGTTGGATTTATTCATGTAAATCTGATCAGTTTTGCTGTAGATTATTTATTTAAAGTTACAAATGCATGATGATATATGTTCTATAAACATTGATTAAATATTGCAGCATTATAGCAGCAAGGTTTATAGTTGAAAACAATAAAAATAGAGCAAACTGATGTTCTTACATGAAATGGGTTTAAATCAGAATACAGTATAAATGTGAATCATTTGTTTTCATCACAATCAAATCTTCAGTTATTTTAATAAAACACAACATTAATGTGAGAAAAACACATCATCAAACAAAATTCTCAAAAAAGGAGTTAAACTATAAAAACTTACATATTAACTGCTTCATCTATATTTGATTTTTAGTCTGTTGACTGAATGATCTGAGGACAAACAGGGACACATAGAGGAGCAAAAATCAACTAACATTTATACATTTTTCACTCGGTAGAAAAAAAATAATAGCCTCAATTGTTAAGAAATAAAATGTGCATCCTTTAAAATGTGACAATTTGACATTATACATATGTAAATAGCAGGAACTACATGCATTTATGAAGAATCTTTAACAAAACAAAACTCTTCAGTTATTCACAACAAAGCAGAATCTGAAGGTAAAATCTGCTGCAGCTTTAAACAGACTGTCAGATCATCTCTGCAGTACTTGTTCAAAGATAATAAAAAATGCTTCAATATCAGAAATAAACGTCTTAAAAGTAATTTTTGCCTAACAAGAGTTCCTGCACTGCAACTTTGTAGTGTTTGAGGAGAAGCTCAAATGATGAAAAACAGCTTGAACCTTTTCCTAGGAAAGAACTATTTGTTGATGATTTTCTCAGCCATATGAGAAGGAACTTCTTCAGTAACTTCCATATAAGCTGCTGAGGAACAAACACTGCTGCCGATCCCAGAGGAGATCTCAGATGGTCTAACTCTGTTCATCAACCAATCAGAGACGAGGCCATGAGCTCGTCGGATCCCGAACTCTGAAATGCTCCCATATTCTGAGGCAACATCTCCACTCACT